TTCTCAGGGGATGACTCTTCAACATTCTCATTTTTCTCCTCCTCTTTCGTCTCTTCTTCTTTCTTCTCTTCTTGTTTCTCTTCCTCTTTCTTCTCTTCTTCTTTCTCTTCCTCTCTCTTTTCTTCTTGTTTCTCCACATTCTCATCATCCTCTTCTTCCCCTTATTTCTTCTCTTTCTCTTTCTATACATTCTCAACATCCACTTCTTGCCCTTCTTCCTTCTTTACTTCCTTCTATTCTTTCGCAGCTTTTTGTTTTTTCTCTTCTACTTCATCTATTTTCTTCTCCATTTACACAACCACCTCCACAATATAAGAAGCTTCCTTTTCAATATTGGTTACATCGTCATAATCTAAACAACCAATATCATCACCTCTATTAAAAGAATCCAAACTACTTTTCCTCTTCTTCTGTGTAACCTTCGTATGCATATAATTTTGGGCCATAATAGCCTTCATATTCTTCTTCAGGTCCTTGGGGTCAATTAGATCAACGGTTTCTTCATAGAACTCTAATTTCTTATTAAGCCATTGTATCTCCGTGGCGCAAGCATCCCATTAATATTGATTGCTACGCTTGACAGCATGAAGCAATTTCTAATTTAGTTTGGCAGTATTCCTGTAAAAATAAATGTGTTCATCACTTGGTAACTTCTCTATCTCATCTTCTCTTTCAGGAGCATCACTGATATGCCGGGAGAAAAAAAAGAATATACCCATTATAGTTATATAAACAATGAAAAAATTAAGGTAATAGTTATGAAAATCAACAAAATTTAAAATGCTAATATGTAAGAATGAAAGTTTACATGTTAAGCTGAAAAGTAACATGTACAGACTAAAGTTAACATGTAAATACAAGAAATAACATGTACGCATGAATGATAAAATGTAAAGATAAAAGTTATTATGTTACGCTGAGAATTCACATGTTTTGCTGAACATTAACATTTAACATTAACTCAACATGAAACAATGTACACTAACATACAAAAAGAAAGTTAACATGATATAATGCAAATTAAAATATAATAATGATAAAGTTACAAAATTTTGTTTAATATAAATATGCAATAATGTGTAAAGAATAATTGATGCTTATGTAGCCTATTGACGAGCTCTTAGATTTATCATTCACCTTCTTTGGCTTCTCACCCTTAACCTTTTATTGCTTCTCCTTCTTCTTCAGTTGGGTAACCTTCTTCGGCAGTGATTGCTCCATAGATTTACTCCTGTCAGAGATAAGGGGGATTCTTTTTTTCCACGATGAGAGATGTCATTCTTTTTCCAACTGGGCTCCCTTTGAGGGTTTTTCTCACCCCGTGGGCTACTGGGAGAAATTTGTTTCTCTATGATATTAATGCTTACTTTCCTTGCATTGGATATAATTGTATCTCTCCTCAAAGAGCCAGTTGTCCCTCCAACCCTTACCCAATTGGTCAACAGAGGCTTCCATCTCAAGTTAAGGGCTAGTTTTTTAATGCCTGTTATCTCATAGTATCATAGCTGTTAAAATAGAATGAACGAAATTTTAAGCTTTTATAAACTAGTAAAACTGTAGATAACATGAAAAAGATGGAGGAGAAGCAACAAATATTTGTCATAATTTTTCTTTTTAACTTTAATAACTCTTTGTTCAACTTCAGTCTAATGAGCTAACTTTCACAATTAAAGGTTAACTTTTACTATACATGTTAACATTCAGGCGTACATGTTAACTATCATATTTTAATGTTACCTTTTATCTTCATATGTTAAGTTTTATGTTAACATGTTAATTTTCACAATATCCTGTTAACTTTCAATCTTGTACATTTTTTCTGATGCACGTTAACTTTTATCATAGTTATCAAAGCTGCTAATAACTAAAACAAAAAGCAAACCATATGAACATGCAACTTACAAGAATGAGTGGCATGCATCCAGGTACATATGTAACCTCTGGCTTTCTCATTCCTTTCCACAACAATTTGAATGCCTCTTTTCATCTTATCAAAAATAAATTTACCCCACACAATAATTTTTTACTCTCTCAATACTATCCACATATTAAAACAATTGCTTTGAGATGCCTTGTGAGCAGTTGGGGCACCAAATCATTGCACACTGGTACAGAATCTGAAGCAGCACAAAATCATCAATATCCTTTTTGAGGTTGACTCAACAAGTGTGTCCAGTAACTCTTTAACATATCTCTGTATGCTATCAGTTGCTTCTTTATCTTTGGCTTTTGTCTTTGTCTTTGCCTTGGCCTTTATCATTTCTTTCTTCTCTTCAAAGTACTCCCTCTAGAGCCGGTTGTGCGGTTCTCTATTTCCTCATCAATAGGGAAGCCCGTGTGATTTTGCACCCATTCGTCATCTAATTTGACTAAAAACTGACCCGATTTTCGAATCGGAAAAAGAGAATTCATCCTTTTCACCAACATAATTACTTAGCACATGCTCTAGTGCTGGTCAATCATGTGCTGGAGGTCCGAACAAGACGTAATGTTCAAAGTTACTGGCCTTGTAGGCATCCCAGTGCCACTTCTTTATTCTTAGTTGAAAGTTTTTTTATGAACGCATAGTATGATCCAAAAATGTCATAGGCCTGATATCACCTACAACATCAATTTTCCTACATAAATAAATATTTACTCTTAACAAATCATTCAAATTCTTAATATCCATTATACATACTAACATCAGTGGTAAATATTAACATCAAAGGTTAAAACTTAACAACCTTTTGTGGCAGTTAACACTTACAGATGAACGTTAACAACACTCAACAAAACTTAACATCTGTTCGTACAAGTTAACATTCATTTATGAATTTTAATATCTAATGATGAAACATGTATGTGTAAAAGTAAACATTAGTTATTTACCTTTTTCATGTAATGCTATCACTTAAACAAAAAATTAATGTACAAGCTATACTTCTCAATATATAATATATGAAAAATCTAATTGCAAATATTCACATACTTTCCATAATTGTTGGATGTGATTATATATTGTAATTCATATGCCATAATTATACTTTTCAATATATATTACATGGTAGTATAACACAATGAACAAAATTCCAAACAATGAGTGTATATGTCATACAATAGGTCTACACTTCACACATAATAATTTCACTCAGATTAAGACAAAAATTCTACAAATAAGGTCCCCGTTTTATCCACTTTTATTATCAATAAATTGAATATCAAACAAAAATAGTTATGACCTTAGCCTAGCAACAAATGATTACTATTAACATGAATTAAAAATAGTTAACAGTTAAGGCATTAACTTAGTAAAAGTCAATATTTATTAACATGAATGGCTAATAATTGATACTTAAGGCTAAACGTTAACAAAAACGAGAATTATTGACATGTATTACTAATAGCTAACAACAAATGAGAATTATGTGCATGCATTTCTTCGAAACGATTATACTTGACATTGTTGAGATCATACTCCCAGATTAAGAAACTGGCTCTACACTACAATAACCAGTTTCTCGCCACCATTTTTTCATAAACAGAACTCATAAACAGAAACTGGTTCTACAGTACAATAACTAGTTTCTCACCACTTTCTTCCCTTTTTTCCCGCTCATATTTCAGCTAACATCCAACATCATAATTTTATAAATTACTTAAAACAAAAATTAAATAAATTCAAAATCACTCAATTGATTGGGAACTTACTTCTAGAGATGAGCACATCCTCCGTCGAGCGTCTCCTCTTGCGTTCTTGAACTTCTGGTCCCCCTTTTCATGCTCAATAGGGTCACCGTCGCCTTGTTACCTTCCTCATCCTCAGAGAATGTCAGAGAAGAACCACCGGCGGGGGATATGAAGGCAGAGGCAGAGGCAAAGGCGGATGATTTTGGCACATACTCCTTCGCCAATCGAGCCGAGCGACGCCGGTGAAGAACCCCTTCCATTTGGGTGTTGTCTCATTCACCCTTCTCCATATTAGGGTCCTCGGTCATTTTCCTTAAATTTTTAAGATATTTTTAAGGATTTACTGGACGTTTGAGTGAAAACTAGGGTTTCGAATTTGGGTTCTTGAGATGACGGAGGTTTGAGCGTGAGAAGAGAGAAGAGAGAAAGGGCAGACAAGTTTTGGAGGGAACGGGTTAATGGCAGTTTTGGGTTTTGGTAAATAGTTTCTCTCTGTGCTGAGTTTGAAAAGTAAATAGGGGCTCAAACATAATTATTTCATGTATTGGGGGCTTTCTTACACAAAAAAAATACTGGGAGGCTTGGTCACAACCACTTTCTTTTTTTAGGGCATTGACACATTTGCCCCATAAATATATGTATTTGTTCAATTTTATACTAAAATTGCCTGTGCTATGAACAAGAAAATTGCAATATTTTCCACTGTGACAAAAATCAGAGAAAATCAACATTCAAGAAGCACCAAACCTAATATGAAGAATCCAAATTGAGATGGAACTTGAACTAATTAATGTAGTATCAAAATGGAAAAGTTGAATATAAGATGTCTATCTTATTTAACAAATGAGCTATAAAAAAAATAAAGTAGTGGAATTCATGATATGCTCGGACGTAATAAAATTGTGAATTTTATCTTTATTTTTTTTCTTGTAAGTTCATTTAGCATAATGACCTGTCATCTTGTACTCATATGTGTGTCTTAAAATAATAGATAAGATATGACATCTTATTTTACTGAATGGAAAATAGACTGAGTAGATGGATTCATCCCTCCCACATTTTGTAGCTTAGTTTATAAATGACATAGCAACTCATATATTTTTTGTTAGGTTTTTTTTGGAAGATGAAAGTATGAAGTATATATATTTTACAGAATTAGTCAATTGAATTGGTCCAAAACTTTGCGGTTTCCCTCAGTACTGCAAGTCCAATTTAATGCTGAAAGGGAATTAGAAAATGGCAGCATAATCCCGTAGAATTCAAGAAAATTATTCTAACAACATTTTGATCAGCTTGATAAACAAAAGCTCAAAATTTAGAAGACATTTAAATTTCCACAATTATTTTGATTGTTGCAAAGAGTTATTGTTACACGTACGTTGACACGCCCAAAAAACCGCTCCCTACATGATCCCATGCCTACCAAAATCACCTATTCCGGCTCGGGTTCAGCCTTACGGATCCAAACCGAAACCTGACTCATTCAACACGATCGATCATTTCGGGAGTTACAACTCGCAGTCCACGACAATATCTATATAATGAAAATATACACTGTTATTACACACTGTAAGAATCCGATAACCCGTTTTCATGCATGTCAATATCTAGGCTGCATTGCCTACTCTATTCGGATCTCCACGAACCACGACGTTGGTCAGATCGACTTCTCCTCCCTTCTTCCTTGCCTCGAGTATTCTCTGCGTTGACTTATAGTACATTGCATACAGTATGAGTTGACCAATAGCAAACACTAGTCCTATACCATTAGGAACCTGAAACAATTCCAGCAAGATTGTTAGAGCATAAAACTACAATCAGGGCTGGTCTGAGGTTTGGGTTGCCCTAGCCCAATCCAATTTTGGTTGCCACTTATATTAAAAATTTGGTACGAACAATAACGATAAAAAGGAATACATAAAATACCACTTAGCGTTCTATATTGGGTTCAAACTGATAATATTCTCTTGTAAAATCAATATTCATATAAGAAAATATTACATTTGTGCTATAATTTAATTTAAAAAAAAACTTTTCCTTGAATTTTTTGAAGCGAATTCTTCAATCTAGATCTAAGATTTTTAAAGAAAGATCTAGAAATTTGGGTCGGTGACTCAGAGGGAGGAGTACAGGCGTGCAACCAGCGGAAGATGAAAAAAACACGTGAAGTCTAACCTTAAGCCTTATCCATGTGGTATGCACGTGTTTGAAATTTTTTTATGAAATGCACTCTCTAAGACTCGAATAAGGGCGATTTACACAACAGACAAACCCCTCAACCGCAATACTAAGCACGCATCATATTAAAGCTTGGGATATTATGTTTATAAATTATAACCCTACATTATATATAAAAAATTTGGTTGCCCCCCGGCCCTAGGTTGCCCCCCGGCCCTAGGTTGCCCCAGCCCCGAGGCTTGGTGGACTTACCTCAGGGCCGGGCCTGACTACAATTATTAATCTTCACCATAGTTTGTGAGTTCGACACAACGGAAGGGTCTTTTTGACATGACACCAAAGCAACTTAGTAATTCCCGCAAACTAGTACTTAAAATCAGAATTTAAATTATTAATACCGCTGCATGGGTCTAAATTTTGGCTCATAAAAAATTCCATATGCAAGATAACCAATATGACTAAAAAACTTGCGTATATAAACAATGTCAATGCAACATGCAACAACATATTACTCTATATTTTCTAAAGAAGATAACCAATTTTAACTCAAAAATTTTAAATATCTAAACAAAGTCGATCAAAATTAACATATAAATAAAATAGAGAGAATACTCACAAGAATGTTGATATCAAATTTGAGGAGGGAGTAGATTGTCCAACAAGTTCCGTTCAAGAAAGATTGATAGATAGAGAGGCATGTACTCGACGCTCTTAGTTGCTAATAACTATTTCTGCAGAAAATTAATATCCCAACAATATTCAAAAAATGCAAATCTATAAGAGTAGTGATAAGTATACTACACTTTCTTTACTAATTTGGCACTACCACTCATAAAAGAGTTGGGCCATAATGAGTTATCAATACAATTTTCAAGTGAGACCCTCACTCCTTTGTGAGTAGTAGTGTCAAAGTAGTTAAAAAAGGTACTACACTTAGCATTTTTCAATCTATAAACTTCATATACTATCATGAACTTTGGGGGATTTGCACTAAACTACTATAAACTTATGTTATTAGAAAAAAATACTGTGAACTTTTTCCGACTAAAAGCCACTAGTAGATATAGAGTAACTTGTCAAGTGGGTAATTTTGCCATTATTTTTTATATTTGTTATCACTATTATTAATTTTTTTTTGAAAATTTAAATAGAGCGAGATGCCTATTCATATATAAGTTAAATCACTAACTAATTTTAGTGTGAAACAATCCGGGACAATTAACGATCAAACAATTCATATTTAAGAATAGGGAGAGGACCGTACCCGTCACCAATTGCAATGAGTGATAGATGTTTCATCCAAACTAATCAAAAACGTACTAAAGCACACTAGGAAAAGCTAGACCAAAAGAATAAATAGTTACTGAGCTATCAATATATAGCTCCTACTTACAGCCGAAGGCAGAAAAAACCAAACTCTAAGCTAACATAATTACAACCATAAGTATAACCAAAAACCAAAAATAATACTGTAGTGGCATTAGAAATTGTCGACAACTGTGGCTCATGCATCAACAGCTTGGCGATTTCTCTCTTGTCGATAAATTCTTGGGTTTATTACTATTACCAGATAACCTCCAATAGCTTTCGAAATACTACCCCCCAGTTACGGGTTACTGGAAAACCCCCTCAATTAAGTTTAAAATTTATTCGTAACAACATGAACCGCAAGTTTTACTGGCACAAATATCAACAAATTATGCGTAAATTTCACCGAAGTCCGCATGAACTTATGATTCATAGAATTCCTTCTAACTTGTCCCACTTTAATGTACCATGACCAATGAAAATTACTTCAATATCTGCTATACTTTTCAGATGTGACAACATTAGACAGTTTTATCCCTATCTACTTAATTACTAACTTACCCTTTCAACAAGAGGTATGCATGAAGTGAAAAGAATATATCGTACTTACTCTACATATCTTCAACGCAGCTTATGAATTTTCAATTGTTCAGAAGGGCTGAGTATAATTTTAAAGTTCAGATAAAAGTTTTGTGAAATTTATCCATAAAATATCATAAATGTATAACTAGGAGTGCAACCGGATCAGATACATACGTACCATAGCAGCCAGGGGGGCAACATACATAATGATACAGAAGATGATACATATGATACCAATGATCCTCGACCGGAGATTCTCGTTATGAACCAGGGTGATGATGAGCGCGCCAAGAATGGCCACAATAGCTATCTCGAAGATGACAACGAGGATCGCCCTCAGCTTCTGCTTTGCCGGGCTGTAGATGGTGTAGATGATGATGTAGCACAGTTCGATGACAACTCCAGCGCCGTTGATGGTGAGGACCAGAGTGCTGTCTGGGTGCACTATGGGGAGGCCGTAGAGGCACCAGAGGAGGCAGTTGAGGAGTGTGGCAAGGTATGGGAATGCAGAGAATTGCTCCACATCTTTCCTCTTGAATATGGTTATGAAAGTTGGCCTATTGAAAAAATATATATTAATTTGGACGGTCTAAAACTTAAAAGAACTTGGTTGAAAACAATTAGAAAAGATATAATAATAGAATATGGATGTATTAGATTCATATAGCCGACCTAAGAATTTTGATATAGATATTGTTGTTGCCTATTGATGGTGTAAAACATGATATCTTGAGTATTTTCTATCATTTTATTAGAGAGAATATGGACGGTAAAAGATGAAAATCTTCAAGTGATAGTTGCATATACACCTATTTACTACAGGGGAGCAACCATTTATGTCCTCTTAACATATTTATTAGCATATACACTCTGAAATCCAGACAGTATTTTTTCCGTTAGGTTGATACGCCACACCAGAATCACATAAATAACAGAAAAAGAAAAACAAAAGCCCTTGATTTGACTTGGAAAAAACTAATATATAGAGGGGGAAAAAGATAATTTACCATCACATTTTTATCATATATATGATGACTAACCTTGAAGGGAGAATAATTGTACATATAGGATTAAACAAACATAAGTGGTAATAAAATAGTTTAGAAGTTATAAGTGGTAACATCGAAATAGTGAAGTAGATTATCTGCAAATAACCCTTAATATCTTGCTTTATATTCCCCTAGATTTTCTTAGAAAAGATAAAAACGATCAAATAGTTGGAAAAAAGAAACAAATTGTAATACAAAGAAAATATTGCACAAAAACTAATGTGAGGATTTATTATTATTATTATTATTATTATTATTATATTTTTATTTTTATTTTTTGGTATGGGGATTTGGTATGGGGAACCTTCCTTGGTGTGTGGCCTTGCACTTCAGGTCTCATACGAGTAGACAGGTATTCGAACCCTAGAATTATATGGCAAAAAATTCCCTTAAAAGCCATCAATATGGACAAACGTTGGTGGGTTCATAAGCGTTAGATGTTTATTTTGATCATTTTTTTATTTTTTTATATTATATATATTTTATTTTATTTTATTTTTGTAATTTTTAAATTTTTTTTGCCATCCCTTGTAGAAAATGTGGGAGGTTAATAATTAGAGCAAAGTACAAGTTTGTACACTACCAATCATCCTTCCCTATTTCCTAGAGTGGAAAATAAGAAGGCTCAAACAAAATATCCAGTTATTTATTACCTGCAATATTAGTCAAGGGGGAAAAAATGAACCATGTAATTATAGTTTGAGAGGAGTTTGAGCTCATGCTTACATTGGTGACAGAAAAAGCCCAAGTGATATTATATTTCCTGCACAAGAACAACAAGATTATTTCTACTTCTTGTTCAAAGGGGTTAAACAAAAAATGACACGACATTCAAAAGAATCAATTTACTTTCTCTGTCTTAAGCTATGTAATCTTCATGATCTTTCTAATTTCAGGATCCAAACTATAGACGTCTTTTTCCTTGAGAACCACCACGGAATAAATAACTTAATTAAGTATTTCAAGTAACGTAGGATTTGTATAGGAAATATACCATTTAGAGGGCTGATATAAATTCTATGAATTTAGTGGGCTATCCATAGATATCCCATTTTAATAGGAAATATACAAAGATAACGAAAATAATCAATGATGTCATAACAAAAGACTAGGCTTAATTACAAATATGTCCCCACTATAAGGATTAACCACTTATTATCCCTCAATTTTTTAGTAACAATAATTAGATCCCTTAATTAATGCACAAACTGAATTATCTCTCAACACATGTACTATAGCCGAAAAATATATATATACACCTATAAAAGAATTTGGGGTCTCTTTGGGAAATCCTCAAATATCAAAGGGATGATAACCGACACATAACTCCGTAAAATCAAGGGTCAGAGTACTAACTAATAATAATAAAATTTTAAGTGTACTAATGAATGATTTACCACCATGCATGGAATTCATCTGCAATTAACCCAAAAAGACTAAAGAAGAATAATCCTATTTTCGTTTTCCCTTCTTAATGAAAGTAGGAAGGAAAAAAATAATACAGCAAGACAACACCTTGATACAAACTAATTCATGCACGCATGCCCAAGCAAGAAATCTAATTTAGAAAACCCTACCTACGATCCCGACGATCGTCCGAATCAACGCGAGGGAAACCATGGCTATCAAAGAGAAGGAAAAAGAAGAACCTTGGAAGAAGAAGAAAAAGAGTGATCTTTATAGGGAGAAGGGGATGTCTCTTTATAGGGGATGACTATTATCGCTCTCTCTCTCTCTCTCTCTCTCTCTCTCTCTCTCTCTACTTTCTCTCTCTATAACCAATCTTCTCTATAGCGTTAAAACTTGGTTGGTTTGGTGCATGACAAGTTTTGGAGCATGCAGACACAAGACAACACTTGGAGGGGGGAGGGAGTTAATGAGGAGGATAGGGCCATGGCACTTTCTTCAAGATTTGTACATTCTCATTTTCTCACACATTTATATAGAATCACTTCGCACCGACCTTAAACAAATTGACTAAAATAAAACAAAGAAATTTAAGGCCTCCATTTGTTTGTTTCATGCACAAAGGCAAAATCCCGAATAAATAGAGAATGGATGGGGTTTACGTTGTGTATAGGTCCGTAGAGAAGGGGGGTCCAACGAGTAAAATGTTGGTCTTGTTTGATAATAAATGTACGAGAATACCTACAGTTGTTAGGTTGATATCCAATGATATGAGTGGATAACGGAGAAATTAGCTGGTCTACTTGTCACTAACTCCTGTCATTATTGATAAATTACAGAAACAATTTATGTATATAAGAGGTAGAGGAATCGGTTGATCTTGATCATTTTGAATGGCGAAGAATCATCTCTGGTTTGAATCTTAAAGAATTTAGAATTAGTTGCATATTTATCTTCATTCATAGAGTACAGTACATGTCCTTCAATATTTTTTTAGAATGATTATGATCCAAACTGATCAATAAAACTAATATTACATTCTTGTTGAACTTGCACTTATTAGTTTCATTTAGATTAGAAATGATCAAAATTATATATCACCAACTTGATAGATTAGAAAATTAATGAACATATCTATCCAATTTTTAGAAAGAAGGTTATAGGACCTAAATCTAATTTTAAATGAGTTTATTTAGCCTTGTCCTTTAGATAATGTTTTTTTTTGGATTATTAAGTTTTTCAAATTAATTAAATCTAGTTATTATTATTTTTATCTAGAAAATCATTATTATTTCTGTTTAAAAACTACAAACAAACAAACATTATAACATCACTTCTTCCTCTAAGTTAAGGGGCTCAAAACAATTGGATTGAAGTTAAGGGACGTGCAATAAATTCACACTAGATATGGATAGACATGTAACTTTGCAGATATACACCATATATGTGTAGGTATATTCCAAGGTGTTTCAATTGGTTATTTGACCTTCTGGTTTAGCATTTATTAGTTGGTAATTATAGAGAGGGGGAAGCCTCCATATATAGATCCATATTCAAATATTTCTGTGCAACCAACAGGAATCTGTGTGTGCGTCACAACTTACAAGGCTTATCCGTTTGCTTTTAATTAAGAGATGGCATGATTTTTATCCATCCATCGTTTGTTTTTGAATAAAATGCCAAAATGGGGCACCCTGGTCAAAACTGGAGAAGAGGGAAACAAGGGTTTTTCCGTTTTGGTCTAGATCCTGTTTGGCCAAGGGAGAATAGCGTTGGGTGTACAGTACAATCGCACGCTGATCGGATCCTAGGACTGTGTGCCACAAATCTCACACTCGTGGAAACCCCCTCCTTCGAAAGGAGTTACGTGATGACTAGGGTTTGTAATTAACCGTACAAATTAGACTTCTCAACCTCTTTTTTGGGATGTACATATGAACTAAAACGGGCATCAGCTTCCTAACTTTGACCGACATTCTATCATGACGATAGCGTTCAAATGCACGTGCTCATTTTGGCCGGCGGGTATAGTTTGCTACCTCTATTATGAGGATTCAAGTAAGAGATGGTTGAATGATTGTGAGATTCGCAGAAAGAGAAGAGGGGAGAGAAAATGAAAGTACCGTTAATAAGAACGTAACTAATATAGAGATGATATACCGCGTGTGATGAAAAGGATGAAAAGACAGATTTCATAGTAAATAGTTAAATAAATGTTTCTAAAAACGAAAAATAACAGTACAATCACAATAACGTATTTAGCCCATTCGCTAATTTGAAGGGCTAAATTATTAACCCGTTAAATAAGTTTTATTTTAGTCATTGTGATACGTTTTAGTGTTTGGGAATAACAATGATTTTGACTATTTTCTTTATAATTAGAAAAGTTAACTCTTAATCATTCTAAATAGGAGTATTAGTAAACCCCTCATTTTGAGGGGGTTAGCTTAACCCTTCTATATTTTTTATGTTTGGCAAATTATGAAGGGTTAACTCACTTTAACCATTGCATAGATTTTTTGTGTTTGGCGGGTTAAGAATGGGGTTAAGTCTCCTTAACCCCTCACTTAACCCTTCTCCAAACTAATATTAATGATAATAAAGACTAAAATTACTGTCACTTATCATTTCTGTAATAGTGATTTTTTGTACGTAATAATAGATATCATACACAAATATATGAAAGGGTACGAATGCCATATTTAATACGACGTTCATATCCATCAACAAAATTTGGCTTCTTATACAAGCATTTAAAAGGAATTCCTAGCTCCCTTGAAGGGGTACATCGTGATATAGACTCGGTGATGACATAACACAAGGGTACATCGTGATAAAGACTCGGTGATGACATAACACAAGCTTAAGGGTGTGATATTTATTTATATATAAATGACCTCAACCAACTTTGACTCAAATTCTATCCAGACTTTTCCAGATGCTGGTATTTAGTTGTAAAAAAAAAAGATAGTCCCACATCGGATATTTGAGCATTTTTTTAGAGGTTTAAAAACATTTAATGATTATTGGACTTTGATAAATGAGTCAAAGTATAGACATCTAAACTGTTGTGCGCAGCGGAAATTTCGGCAGAGTTTCTGGTGCACAATAAGAGAGAAAGACCGATAAGAATTCATGTCTCACCAAGGAAACAAGAATCTGAAGCGAATATTTCAACAAAGTGAAATATCGGCTCTTTCTCTCATCAGTTCTAGGACTGACTTGTCGAGTGATCCTAAAAACTATTACAATAGCCACAAATACGAACAAATCAATTTTACGTGGTTCGGCAAACTGCCTATGTCCACGGGGCAAGGAGAGGGGATCTACTATTAGAATAAAAAGAATACAAATGGGTTTACAACTCTTATAATCTAAACCCTCAAATAGGCTCCTTGTTTTTCTTCTCAAGAAAAGGTCAGCCTCCAAAGCTTTTATCTCTCTGCACGAAGCTCTGCACCTTTGCACGCCGCCTCTGCCTTTTTCACAACCTCTGCACCCCTTTTGCTGCAGCCACCAAGAAGAAAGTCTCCCTTTTGCTCCTGCACGCTTGCACGCTCACAAATCCACCGCTTTCTTTCTCTGCTCAAAATAAAATCAACTGCAACCGAAAAGTCCTCAACTTGCACCAAACCCTAGGAACAGTGCTCGTTCCTATATATAGCCGAAACATGGATGCGGTTGTACATCACACGGACGAAATTCAAGGCCCACTTGCACTTTTCTTTTGTCCGCTGGACCATAACTTTCACTTTACGCGTTTTGTTTTACCATACTATCTCTTCACGAGTAACACAGTGGCCCCCACATCATATGCTCCAACAATTCTTCACCTCGGTGAAGTTTTCCCAAAATTGAACCGACACCAACTAAAATAAATATCTCACTTGCTGCATCCAGTATGAAGTGAAACAATTCACGACAACGGACGCAATTCATAACAAGTCAAGAACCCAAATGAGAATGCAAACACTCTTCAAATGTCAGTATCAACTCACAAACTGCATCATAAAGACTGTCTACGTATCCTCATGTCCAAGGAATCAAGCCTCACGTAGTTCATCCAAATGGCCGCGAACGACCTCAATCTAACAGAAGAGTTCGCAACCCTTCTTTAATATCATCAACTCTGCGGCTGATAGCACCTCCAATGACCTCAAACACCTCCACCTGAGGTGAACCAATGGCCATATCCAAACTATGTCTGTCAGCTGCACTCGAATCAAAACACAACTCATCATCTGCACCTAAATCCAAATGATCCCTAAGCTGTGTCACCTCAGCTAGAATCCCAAATAATGCAGTATGATCTGGAGTAAATGGAATAATCTCCACCCAATATGAAGTAGCATTAATCTCCACCCGTTGCGATACCTCTAAGGTCTGTCCAAAACTCTCCACCTGCTGAGAGTCAATTGGCTTCCTCATCGAAGCCTCATCCAAAATGACACAATCAGACCTATCTTCCAATAGAGTTTTACATCCAATCACAGCAGTTGACAACTCTTTAATAGGATGACTCAAATATGTCGAAGCCTCAGTCCAGAACCTCTTCTGCAAACCATTGATCGACCACAAACACCGATCCTCCTCCAGCAAGGCACGGTTCTCCAAATTTGTTACCTTATCATGTTTGCAGAACCTCTTCTGCAAACCATTGATCGACCACAAACACCGATCCTCCTCCAGCAAGGCACGGTTCTCTAAATTTGCTACCCTATCAAGTTGCCCCAAGATTTCCTTTCCAACGAAGTGTCTCGAAATATCGTGAGCTCGGCTCTAATACAGAAATAGGTTCATCTTATACCTCCCAACAAAATCAGAATGAAGTACCTTTACCTTTCTGTCCATCTTACACTTCTTCAAACTGTTAGAGACTACTAGGACTTTCTCCAATGGGGATTTGGTTGCAACCCAAACACGCCTAGAACAGCCACCAACAAAGGAAACCAAACGCCTATTACCTCCCAATGATGCCCCCTTGAAAGGTCCCCAAACATCCATGTGAACTCCTCCAGAACGACCCTTAGCACGGTGAATAGAGGTGCCAAACTTCACCTCGGTCTTCTTGCTCACATCATGTTTACTGGACTTCAAACTGTAGGTCTTCGCACCCTCATTCAATCTATGCGAGGAATCACTACTGGAACGGCCAAGCCCTAAATATCACAGTCTAGTCAAATTAATAGAAGTCGCCAGTTCTTCACCTGCCACTATACCTCCTGTCAAGTAATACAGGTTATTCCTCCTGACGCCCTTCATCACAATCCGAGAGTCTTCCACAATCTTGAGAATTATGTCCTCAATTCGAACATTCGGATCCTCTCCAACCAAAGCTCCAATCGAGATCAAGTTCTTCCTCAAAGAATGAACATATCTCAAATCATTTAACTCCCTAACAGTCTTGTCAAACATTTTGATGCGAATTTTTCCTATCCCAAGGATCTGACATGCACGGTTATCAGCCATGTACATCACACCACTATCCAGCTTCTCAAAACTGGAGAACCATTCTCTTCTAGGGCACACATGATAGGTCGCACCACTATCCAACATCCACTCGGATTCCTCCGAATAGCTACACGTAGGACTGAT